TGGTGAAGTGATGGTATTTTTATTTTAAGGAAAAACAATTGAGATTGAGTTTGAGTTCTACAGGTATAGGTAGGGATGGTCATTTTGAACTTGTTTAATTTTGTGTTGTTTTCGTTGATTTATTCAATCTAACGGTAAAAAATAAAAACAAATATGGAAGAAACTAAAAAAGATGTGTTGAAATCATTTTCGTTTCGCATAATATCAAGCTTTAGCATTTTGACAAATGTCTTGTAAATGGCCACACTGATTTTCCCAATTCCGTTTTCGGTATTGTAAGCATCTCCAACAAATTTCACAAAACTTAATTTCATTTGGTTTAATTTTAATTCAAATGACACAAAAGGTTACTTGTAAGTTGTAACTAGCTATTTTAATTATGATACTCCAGCATTGTTCTCTAGCTTTGATTAACATTGAATATTTATTTATCTTTTAATGAGATTAAATCATTTAAGGGAAAAAAAGGAACTAGATTTGGCTCATGGCTTGTACTCCTTGGAGAATTTTAGTCAAAGACTTCAGGCTATGTTTGGGTAAGGGATTTGCAATAATGCTCACGCTGTCTTAACACAGCCACCCTTCTCAATAGCCATATATTTTACTGTCTTCTTACAATTCTTTCTTTTGTATTTTGGTGTTTGATAGTATAATTCTATTGATTTCAACTGCATTACGAAGTTATTTCATTAAGCTCAAGGGATATTAGTCGCAGTATTATGGTGCAGAACCAATTGATCAAACAGTAATGCTCATTTGAGAGCCAGACGGTGGCAAGATTCTTTGACAACCTTAACTTCCGCCCGATCGAAATACCAATCTCCAACCGCTTCTGCGATTGTCTGCGATAGTCCACACGAGATAACATTAAACATGATCTTGAAACTCTTTCTCTGTATGTATAAATGTTTGTGTGTTAATAGAGATTTTATCACACACGCAAACGGGTTAAAAACTCCTATATTACTTGCAAAAATGACAAGGTTGTTGTAGTATAAACGGTTTTAGCAAGGTCGTTCTCCACATGGATTATTAAATAATTCAAAACAAACCAAATTTCAATTAATTATTGTAAAGTAGAAAGTTGAGATGATTGGTTTTATACCCTACTTAAATTAAAACGAATTTAATTAATAAAAATAAACTAATCTGCAATATTAAAGATGAAGGGGAAACAAAATTGTTTTGGAAAAATCAAATTAAGAAAGCACTAGGGTTCCACCATCACCTAGCAATCTTATGTATTTTTACCAATTACTTATGATCTACACATGCCACTTTGAAGGTTAGGTTTTCCTAATTTATATTCTACTTGGAACCTCCAACATAGAACGTATATTTAACATGCAACCCATTCGGACTTTCGGATCAAATTTGAACATGAAAGACTCATTATGCTTCATGAAAACCCTTTGAAAACCCATGCAACCCTTAAGACGTGGTGTTCATCTTAAGTGAAATTACAATTATTAATCACAAGAAGGCAGCGTCAATTTCAGGGAACCTTCCAACCAAACTGCATTAAATTACTTTTCTAAAGATCCTAATGGTGATAATGTTTAAGACAATTAGATAGTTTTAATCACGGTGATCAATAATTCAAAGTATGCATGCAATCAATCACAAGCAATTAAATAAAAATTACATATTCATGCTAAGGTTTAAGGCTTCACCCTAGTAAAAGGAATTAGTTACGCATATTCATAATTAAAATCATTGAAAATATTATTAAAAATAAAAGGAATGAAAACACCTTAAAAATAGAAAATTTCCAAGAACCCTAGCAAAGTTCTCTATCTCCAAAGTTTCATAAAAGCAAAACATCCCCCAAAACTAGAACCCGCCAAAGCCTTTTAATATCTCCCTAAAGCCAGCGCACAAACCCTAACAATCAAGTATTTTATTCCCACTAAGAAACTAAATAATAATAAAATAAAATAGAAAATAAAGTCCTAATTAAACTAGGAAAAACTGCATAGAAACTGTTCAGCCACGTTTTAGCCTCAAATCTCCTCCAAATCCGGCCCAAGATAGCTTGTTTTAAAGATAAGAACGTTCTGAACACATCTTCAGAAGGCCACGAACCCATCCGAGGTCATCTTGGGCTCCAAAAACGCAAGTTAAGTCCAAAATGTCACTATTCCAGCACTGTGCATTGCTCATTTATTTTATTGCCAGAAAATCGTTGCTTAGTAGAAAAATCTGATATTTTGATATGATCAAGCTAAGTGACTCACGAACGTCCTCCAATTGGAATTACTCCAAAATTCATCAATTTGACCATGTTTTGCTCCAGAAGAAGTTGAAAGTCCTATATTAAAAATACAATACAATTCAAAGCATCAAAATTCTTCTAAAATATTAACCAAAGTATACTAAGAATAGGGTAAAATATATAATATGAAATTGACTCATCATGTGTTTCTGTGTTGGAACATGCTCTCACCTTGTTTCCAACAGCTGGAGAATTACGAGCAAACCATGTGCCTTGCAACGTTAGCAAGTGCGTGAAACACGAATTTATGAACATCCCCTTTTTTTTAGACACCGAGATTTGTTTTACTGCATTCAGAAATTGATTCCTAAACCCTGTTCCAAAAAAGTTAAGATAATGTCATAATATTTTCATGTTAATTTAGTTGCTTTGTTTCTGAAGCAGCTACAAGATTTAACAATTCATCTGATATGTGGGATTTCACCTTGCAGAATTTCCATGTGTGATGCAGAACAACTTGAAAGGTTTAATCTGCAAGTCTTCCATTCGCCACAGGGATCTGCTGATGGTGGAACTAAACTGTATGGGATCTGATTTTAAGTGGGAAAATACAGCTAAATGCATTCTTTCATTTAACTCCATTTAGTAATTGTGAAATTAGACATTAAAAATAATGAACAATTACCTGCCATGAATCATATGCTGAATTGAGTATAAATAGCGGGGTTGTAACGTTCGCAATGAAGTTTTCAGGGAAGAAGCACTGTAAAGCAAGAAGTAGTGCACAACTTAGTTTATGCTATCACTATTTTTAGATCAATTACTGCAAGAGAAAAAAAAAAAAATTGATTACCGAAGTAGGATCAAGGTGACTAGTACAGAATCGCGGCAGATTTACTTGCAAACCCTGCAAGCCTACAACACCACTATAGTGATCCCTGAGTGCGCGTCCACCGGAAACATCAACCCTAAAATTTCAAACAGGATATCTTCAATAAATTTTGAAGTATTAATGATTATCTAGGAACATTGACAGGAAAAGGAAAAAAAAAACCTAGCTAGGAACATGCCTGCATATTAATAATGCTGCTAAGAGAAAGGGCATAACGGAGAGTAGTACTCACGCGTCGAGAAAAAATCCACCATCACTCAGGCACTTCACTCTTGTAGCTGTGGGAAATAAGCTCCGAAACTCATCACAGTGCAAGATGGATCACAGACCGCCGGCAGAGACACCAGAAAGAAGAGCCTAATGTATGATGAAGGAAGATGTTGCAAGAAGTATCATAACATGGGAACAAGAAATGATCTACGATCAAGAAGAAATTTTATACCTCATTTGCATCGCGCATGCCCTTGGACATCAAATCTTCCATTGCAGACAACAATATTCGCTGTCCTCTAAATTGCAGTTTTCTTTCCTACAAGCAGAATCGTTATATTTTAGCTTCACATTTACGTATATAAACATATACGTAACGTACCTTCCTATACAAGCAAGTCAATTTTGATTCCGGTAGCTGGATGTGAGATCCTAGAATACCCACCTGATTTTCGCTGTCCCCAAGAAAAGAAGCGCCATCACAATAGCGAAGCAATACTCTATTCCAGTTGAAAAAATCTGCAATCCCATTCCTAAGCATGATAAGGATCAAGACAGAAAAAAGGAGATGCAAGCATCGATTAAACAACTGAGTATTATGTTTGAGGAGAAAACCTGGATTCTTTTCTTCTGCGTTGCTTAGTATTCCCGTAAATGCTATCTCTGTTTCCATGCGTGTTGATGATCCATACGCTGAATACATACGGTTAGTGCAACTTCTGATGTCGTTACACCACGCTCCTCCCTGCCACAAAAAAAAATTGAGATGCTTGCTTGGTGATCAATCAACTAAAAGGACTATGCAGTAGAGAGAGAGAGAGAGAATATAACTAAAGGGAAAGATGAACTTGTTATCTGATCATTTCAGTCACAAGATGCTCTGAAGTGTAAGTTTCTTCTCACAAACCTGAAGGTGAATGAGCCAACTATTCGCCCCCGATCCATATCCAGATGCAAATGATAAGCAGGTACTGTTCCATCCAAGCAGCTCCTTCGATGAGGGTTAGCCCTACCATCAGTATGCCATTTGCAGCCTTGGAGGTTCCTCCATAGGTCTTCAACAAAGGCGGTACCGCCTCATTGAGACTCTTCTCCGCACACCCATTGGCCCAAATTATGAAAACGAGTACTGTCACAATGCCTACACACAAGAACTTCACCATGGCTCTCCTCTGCCTCAATCTCTCCGCCACTCAAACCTTCGTAATCATAGCTATAAAAACGAAGCTCAAATCCTAAACCGGAAAGGATTAGAATGTACGTTAATCCTTGATTGAATCTTACACATCTTTTAATAGGAATCAGTTTTTTTCACTCAGCACCAGACGCCCCAACAACAAAATTATACCAAATCAGAGTTTTTTCAAATTGTTACTCCATTCTACTTATCATAACATGGAAATAAACTTCAAAACAGGAAATGAATTGTTGTGAGAGTAAATCAACTAAAGCTACCCATAAATGGGAAAAGTAAGATGCAATGGCAGCATGGATTGATTTCTTAAATCTAACAAAAGCTTGGAGTTTTCGGAACGAACAATTCAAGGCCTTTCCAATCCACACAACTACGGGTTTTAGTAGTTTATAAGGGACACAGTGTTTGCCAAGTCATGTATGTAACAATCACACTGATTTTGATAAACAAGACAATCAAATTCCTATCAATCTTCAGATGTTTTTCAGGGTTAATTTTCTCTATGGCGGGATCCCGCTGAATTGTAGCTGGATTGGTATCAACATGGACAACATATCGTCAACGATAAGCATAGTAATACAGTAGTTGCACAGATGTTATCGACATGGATCCCGTTTAATTAGGAAGAGACACTTAACTGGGATAATGGAGATTTGATTTGTGCCTACTTTACTGGGGTACGTCTCTAGATGTTGCGAGAGCGGATCCTGCTAGAGCTACAGATGAACGGATTCTGCTCAAGAATTGGCCCAATTTTCTCTATACATTTGGTATATAAAATACATACATACATACATATATATATATATTATGATTATGTCAAAATACAAATTACCCCCGAAACATGTACATGAATTAGATGACAAAGGCCATGTATACGCATCCAACAATAAATATCATCGTACTTCCAAGTACACTGCTTGAATTTGTGTCTGGAGGGTAGAGGGAAATCAGGTCCAGAGTCCAGACCATGACCAGAGGTTGACTGTGTTGGAGACAAGGACCCAGTTCATCGTCCAGGCAAGGAATCCGGCATCACCAAACTACTCACCATTGTCACCATGGAAGAAAGAGAATATTCTTCAGTCATCTGCAGGCATATTCTTCAATCGTCTGCAGGCACTCGTTGTACAATGCGTTGGCATTCTCATTAGCCATATGTTTTACCGTTTTCTCCAATTCTTTCGTTTGTTTTTTTGTTCTTTGTAGAATTCTATTGACTCCAATTATTACAAAGTTATTTCATTAACCAGAAGGGCTAGCATTATAGTACCTACAACTCAATACAATGACCATGTAAATAATCGATCAAACAATGCTCACTCGATAGCCAGATGGCGGCAGGTTTCATCAACAACCTTAACCTCTGCTCTATCAAAATACCAATCTCCGACAGCTTCTGCAATTGTCTGCAATAATCCGTCACATTATTAACTTTAGATATCTTCAAACTCTTATTCCTTCATATAATGCATGTGTTTCTGATTCTGTTTTTGTGTGTTGGTAGTTAAAACAGGCTCACCTTGTTTCCAACAGCTGGAGAATCACGAGCAGACCATGCACTTTGCCCCGTTTGACAGTGCGCGAAACACGAATTTATGAACATCCCAGTTTGATTAGACACCGAGAATTGTTTTACTGCATTCAGCATTTGATTCCTGAATCCTGTTCCATTCCAGAAAAATAATGTCACAATAGTTACACAGTTTGTTTCTGAAATTCTGCAGCTTCTGCAAGATTTAAGAGTCGAAAAAAATTCCTTGTTTGTGGGATTTCACCTTGCAGAATTTGCATCTGTGATGCCGAACAACTTGCAAGGTTTAATCTGCAACTGTTCCACTCACCGCCGGGATCTGCTGATGGTGGAGCTAAACTGTTATAGATCTGATTTCAAGTGGGAAAATACAATGCAATGAATTTTTTTCAGTGAAAGTCCTTTCAGTAACTCTCAATTAAGACATTAAAATGAATAATGAACAATTACCTGCCATGAGTCATATGCTGAATTGAGTATAAAAAGCGGGGTTGTAATGTTCGCGATTAAGTTCTCAGGAAAGAAGCACTGCAAAGCAAGAAGTAGTGTACAACTTATTATGCTATCACCTATTTTCAAATTGAAAAGTGCAAAGGAAAAAAAAATTGATTACCGAAGTAGGGTCGAGGTGACTAGTACAGAATCGCGGCAGATTTTCTTGCACCCCCTGCAAGCTTACAACACCACTATAATAATCCCTGAGTGTGCGTCCACCAGATATATCAACCCTACAATTCCATACAGGATCACCAATAAAATTTCAAGTGTTGATAATTAGATAGGAATATTGACAAAGGAAAAGGACGTTAAGGATATAGTACTCACGCGTCGAGAAAAAATCCAGCATCACTCAGGCACTTCACTTTTGTAGTTGTGGGAAACAAGCTCCGAAACTCATCACAGTGCAAAATGGATGACAGACCGCCGGCAGAGCAACCAGAAAGAAGAGCCTAATGTACGATGGATTAATATTCTTTGAGAAGTGGCTTAACACGGGAACAGGATTATATCTTTGGCATGAATAAATGTTGCACCTGATTTGCGTTGCGCATTCCCTTTGACATCAAATCGTCCATTGCAGATAACCATATACGCTGTCCTCGAAATTGCAGTTGTGCTTCCTAACAGAAGAATCACTATATTTTAGCTTCTGATTTGCACTTACGGATAGAAATACATGAGGTACCTTCCGATACAAGGAAGTCAATTTTTTATTCCAAAAGCTGCAGCTCTACTACTAATCACTATCATAATTTTGTGGAAAAAAGGTAAATGGCAAGAACATTCCACCAACCTGATTTTCACTGTCCCCAGAAAATGAAGCGCCATCACAATAGCGAAGTTCTACTCTATTCCAGTTGAAAAACTCTGCAGTCCCTTACATGATAATGGTTAAGACGGCTGAACCAAAAAACAGAAAAAGAAAAAAGCAGATGTAGGTATCTGCCTTAAACAATGGAGCATTAAGTATGAGGAGAAAACCGGGATTTTCTTCAGATTTATTGCTTAGTATTCCAGAAAATGCTCTCTCCTTTTCCATGTGTGCTGATGATCCATATGCTGACAATTTGCGGTTAGAACAACTTTTGGTGTCATTACACCATGCTCCTCCCTGCATCAAAAAGGACTTGAGAGGGTTGCTTGGCAATCAATCAAGTAAAAGGAATCAAGCAGTCCATAAGACAATAACTAAATGAAAACATTAACTTTTTGATTTTCCTCAAACTATCTCACCAACCTGAAGGTGAATGAGCCAACTGTTCACCCCCGATCCATATCCACGATGCAAATGATAAGCGGGTACTGTTCCATCCAGGCAGACTGCAAAGTAGGTGAATTAAAACAAATAAAGGAATAATTAAGAACTGTAAATTTTGGAGTACGTCAATGTATGTCATACCTGCTCCTTTGGCAGCAGCTCCTTCGACAAGTGTTATCTCTACCATGAGTATGTCGTTTGCAGAATTGGAGCTCCCATAGGTCTCCAACAAAGAAGGCACCGTCGCATCAAGACTCTTCTCTTCCACAAACCCATCAACCCAAGTTCTGAAAACAAGTGCTGTTCCAATGCCAACCCAAAAGAAGTTCACCATGGCTCTGCTCTCCTTCAATCTATCCGCCACCCAAGTCCTCGAAAACTTAGCTATACCAAAACGAAACTCGAATCCTAATGAAACGGATAGGATTCAAATGTATGTACGTTACTCCTTACTTAAATCTGATACATATTTTCCTAGGAATCAATTTTTCACAGCTCCAGACGTGCATGAACATTAGTTTACCAAAATGAGATTTTTTAAATTCTTACTCCATTCTACCCAACTTATCATATCATAAAAAGGAAATAGATTGAAAAAAGAGGAAGTAAATTCTTGTGGGAATAACTCAACTAAATATATGACTTCATATTTTCCTAAATTTAACAGAAGTATGGAGTGTTTGATTTCGAAAGGAAAAATCTAATTCCATTCTCCAGCACCATGGTAAACCAGCAGACTCCTGGACTGGAGACTTCGATCTTCTTTTTTTTTATTGCTGCAAAAAACAACACTGTTAGGGGATGTGAATAATGCTTCAAAGCAAAGATTACTTCCAAAAAACGTCCCCTCTTTCTTTGGCCTCAAAGTTTACGCAACTTACTCCGCAAGTCCAATATATAGATCAGTGCTTCCCAAGTCAGTAGGCAGTCTTTTTGGTGAACACAAAAACCATCTGAACAATCAAATTATCTTGAAAAATATCAATCAAAAGTTCAACAAGGAAGATTGTTTGTAATTTGATTGTGGTTGGAAATCCGACATCGGGAATTTGACAAAACAATTTACAACTTAATATTACATACATGGTTCTATTCCTAATTACACTGATACGTACCTTTTAGAATAAAATCTTATTCCTACTGGGCTAGCAGTTAAGTTGGGAACAACATATATCAGTGTTGGACGATTGACCTTATCTCTGAAACTTTGATAATTAGTAAACTCTGATGCCAAAATCACTACAAGAAAAAGCGGCAACAACCACGGTTTGCTTGGTCGGTAAAGTCTCTGAATTGTATATCATCGGTCTTCATCCTTAGTGGCAATCTAAGAGCGCTCTGAGACATCTTTATGAAATGCTTTTCTTCCATGGGAATTTGACATTTCAATTTTAGCTTTCTGAAACTGGCAAGAAAATCCTCTGCAGCTTTGCACCCTTGTAGTTTAAGGCGTCTCACAATTTGATTTAAAAATTTGCAAGAACTGTTGCACCATTTTTTATCCCCGGCGGTCAAACTATCAAGCTTATCAATTCATGTTTTTATTAATAGGGCACTCATTGGGCCTATGTTTTTTGTTTTCATGGGTGCCAAATCGATACCACCTAGTCCATTTTTTATATATAAACACGAGAGTTTCTTTCTTTACATGAACACGAGAGTTGTGTTCTTAATATAAGCATGAGAGTTTCATTTCTAACATGAACACGAGAGTTGCGTTCCTAACATAAACATGAAAATTTCATTCCTAACATAAGTAGGAGAGTCTCGTTCTTCGAACCAAACAAAACCTTTCATTTACTTGTCCTATAATTAAATACAATTTATTCTACATGATGTTATATTAAATATATTGTGGAAAAAGTTGTGGGGGGGGGGGGGAGTGCATTTGTAACATAAACACGAGAATTTCATTCTTAACATAAGTAGGGGAGTCTCGTTCTTCGAACCAAACAAAACCTATCATTTACTTATCCTATAATTAAATACAATTTATTCTACATGATGTTATATTAAATATATTGTGGAAAAAGTTGGGGGGGGGGGGGAAGGGGGGCCAGTGCATTTGTAACATAAACACGAGAATTTCATTCCTAACATAAGTAGGAGAGTCTCGTTCTTCAAACCAAACAAAACCTATCATTTACTTGTCCTATAAATACAGTTTATTCTACATGATGTTATATTAAATATGCTGTGGAAAAAGTGGGGTTTTGGGGGGGGGGGGGGGAACTCTTAGTTAACCTACGCAATGAAGCTAATTTTAACTTGTTCAATTGTAGAGAGGTCACATTAATACTGGTGGGTAGCTAGTAGCAGTCATCACAAAAATAGTAACAAATTATGTGCAATAATTAGTAACAATTGAATCATATAATTAAGTAGAAAGATGACTCCAATTATTGCCACCCTTTGTTGTTCTGTTTTGTTTTTCTTTCTGTCATTTGCAGGTCTTTATTTTACCTTAAAACAAAGTATAAATCCCAAGCTAAGTTCGGCCCAATTAATTAAAAAAAAGAATAGTAGTGACTTGAAGTAGGGAAAGTGACAAGAAGTAAGGTGAAGGAACAAGACAATTTGAAAACCCACTCGCTCAATTGCAAAGAAAAAGAATCTAGACGGTGGGAAGGTAGAGTTGAATTAATTAAAAAGAAATATAATATAATTAAATAAATAACCCAATGTAACTGTGTGACAGTTATAAAAAAAGTTGCAGGTACCTTGAAAAGTTTGAACAATAAAAATGTTATACATTGAATATTGCCATTTGTAGCATATTTATTGACGATCTCTCTAGACCATACCCATATAAGTGAGACTTATATGAATTGTGGATCATTATTAATACATGTATCTAATATAATTATCATCTCGACAGTTAGATGGTGATTTAAGGCATGTTTGAATTTGATTTAAAATTTTGCAAAAATTGTTACACTATGTAAGCAAAAAAAAAAGCCAATTGAGTGCTAGGTTTGAAAAATATATGTATACCTAGCAACAGACTAGCCGGACGGACCAACGGTTAAAAAATATGTAATAAGATTTCTTTTTGGCAATTTTTAAACGACATGGATTAATATGTTTTTTTCTTTTATACAAGCGATATGTCTGAAGAAGACTCAAACATGGAACCTCATGCAAAAATGAATGCTCTTAACCATCTGAGTTAAAAACTTTTTAAGCATAGATCAACATTTCAGGTGCCCTAAACTACACATCGTGTAATTAACCATTTTTCAACGAATAAAATTTATTGTTAATTAAGCAAATATTTTTCTTGCATATTGTGTTAGATGGATTTAACATAACACCAAATCTTCCCTTCTCATTAGCCATATGTTTTACTGTCTTCTATCCAATTTTGTTCTTCACAGTTCTATTGAGATATCAATTGCACTACAAATTATTTCATTAAGCAGTAGTAGGGTTAGCAGTGGTGGAGCCAATGCAGGGGCATTAGGCTCCCTTGACCCCAATAGATTTATAATTTATCCCTTTAAAAAAATATTTGACCCCTTTAATAAAAAAATATTTGACCATTTTAATAAACTTTCAATTTTCCAGTCCTGCCCTCTTCTGTAAAAAAAAGTGACTTTTCCCATGCTATCAGAAAAGTGACTTTTCCCAGAACCCAGTCCACACCAGAACCTAGCGCACACCAGAACCCAGCCATCTTTCTTGTTATCCAGGTGCGTTCTTCTGGCCCAGTGATCTCTCTTGTTCTCCAGGTTGCATTCTTCCGGCTCGACGTCCTTCCTCTAGTAAGTTTCTCTAATCTGAAATTTCATTATTTATTTGTTTGAGTTTTTAAATTTGGAGAGGGGAGAATCTGAGTGAAAGAGGGGTGAGAAATTTAAAACCATCATGAGAAAAATTGAACCAATTCACTACATGTTAATTAATTCCTGTATTGTAATACTAAACCAAAATGAATGATAACAATATAAGATTTTAACATACGATGATGAAGTTGGAGCAGGAAAAAAATAAGGCAATCAAATGGAAAATAAAGGAATAAGACAAATTCAATCACATGTAAAATGAAATCTGAATTGCATAATAGAGTGGATTGGGGAAGGAGGAGGTCTGGGTATTAGACTTAATATATTTCATAAACAACTAAAAACACTAACCTGAAAGAATCCATAAATTATGCTCAATTGATATAATACTTGAAGTCAACATGGCATGTAGGAAATTGATTATGCAGAATGATGCTGCAAACTGATTCTGCAGAGTGATGCAGCAAACTGATTCTACAGAGTGATGCTGCAGATTGATACTGCAAACTGATTCTGCAGATTAATTGTGGGGTTTATCTTAAGGTTTGTGGGGTTTGTATTGGTCTGTGATTATGTGAACTCTGCTTCTGTTAATTTGATCAAATTTATATTATTTTGTTGACTCTTTTTGGTATTTTTTAAAACAGTTATGGAGAGGTATTTAAAGAGAAAATCAACCGAAGATAACCTCTCACCCTCTACAATAGAAAGTATACTAGCAAATCTTCTAGGAGATCCTGGGCTTCGACTCCAGGCTATTAGAATATGATCCAAATATTAAAGATCAAGTCCGAAGAGTCTATTTACAAAGGGAATTGGTTCAACCTCGAACCCATCAATTTCCATATACGTCATTTGCAGGAGTACAACGCTGTTTTAATCCGAAATGGTTTGATGACTTTCCTACTTGGTTGGGGTATAACATATCCAAAAATGCAGTTTTTTGTCGAAACGGTTATCTCTTCAAGTTAGAGATTCTGGAGTAAGCAGGTAATGACAATTTTACTAGCAAATGGTTTCATAATTGGAAGAAAAAATGTCGACTTTGAGTTCATGTTGGAGGTCCTAATAGTGCTCACAACCAAGCTTTACTTCATTGTGAAGCTTTAATGAATCAGAATCAACATATTAAAACAATTGTCCACAAGTAGTCGGATCAAGCACGTATTGATTATCGCACTCGTTTGAATGCATCACTTGATGGCATTCGCTTTTTATTGCGATAAGGTCTTGTTTTTCGCTGTCATGATGAAAGTGAAGATTCAACTTGCTCTTATAGCCGTGGCAAAAAATCATATTCAAATCTTTTTTCTGCTTGGTTAATAATGTTGTTACTATTGTTGGAGCATCGTGTAAATGTCAAGACATGGTTAGAGAAAGACAACAAGCCAAAGTTATGGAAGCTATTCAAAATTATGAGCTTCCAAGTGGGCAAGGCTTGAACCAAGAAACTAGTCTTAAATGTGCAACTGATGCACATTGGAGCTCGCACTATGGTACCTTGGTAAGCTTGATTAATATGTTCTTTTCTGTAATTGAGGTGCTTGAGATGATTGTAGATGATGGTGTAAGTCTTGTTCAAAGAGGTGAAGCGGATATTTTATTAAATGTTTTGCAATCCTTTGATTTTGTCTCTAGTCTTTTTCTGATGAAAGAAATATTGGGAATCACAAATGTGTTGTCACATGCATTGCAAAAGAAAGATCTCGATATAGTGAGTGCTATGGCTTTAGTCAAAGCATGTAAGCAACAACTACAAGCAATGGGGGATAATGGATGAGATGCTTGGCTTGATAAAGTTTCTTCTTTTTGTGGCAAGCATGATATTGATATTCCTGATATGAATGATATCTTTATAGCTCGAGGGAGGTCACGGCGTAGGACAAACCTTTATCACTAACATGTTGATCTCTTTATTGATGTTATTGATAAGCAACTTTAAGAGTTGAACAGTCGTTTTAATGAGACAAGTACAGAGTTGCTTCTTTGTGTAGCATGCTTAAGCCCTTATGACTTATTCTTAGCTTTTGACATTGAAAAGTTAGTTCAACTTGCTCAATTTTATTCAAAAGATTTTTCTGATATAGAGCTCATACTTCTTGAAGATGAACTGAAGAATTATATTTTTGATATGCGTTTGCATTATGAATTTTTTGCATTGAAAGGAATTAATAGCCTTGCACAAAAGTTGGTGGAGACAAAAAGGGATAAACAGTATCCCTTGGTGTACTTGTTAGTAAAATTAGCATTGATTTTACCTGTTGCGACTACTTCAGTTGAAAGAGCTTTTTCGGTGATGAAAACTATGACGAATCCACATCGTAATAGGATGGGTGATCAATGGTTGAATTATAATTTGGTTGTGTACATTGAGAAAGAGGTATATGATTCTATTAATAATGATGTTGTAATACGACGTTTCCAAAATATGAGAACACGTCGTGGACAATTGTAAATGAAAGTATATCCATTTTTGAAAGCTATTTTTTGACCTCATTGTCTTAAATTCCTGGCTCGACCATTGAAGGGTAGTACTATAGTATAAATTATGCTCATTCGAGGGCCAGATGGCGGCAAGTTTTATCAACAACCCTAAACTCTGCTTGGTCGAAAAACTAATCTCCAACAGCTTCTGCTATTATCTGCGATAATCCAGCACACAAAATAACATTGGATTCATACTATGT